TGTTCCTAGCTAAAATCTTAGTATCTAAAAATGACTGGCATATCATAGGCTCCTAATAAATGTTTATTGAAAAAAAAGCTAAATACAATCTTCTAATCTCTAAATGTTTGAAGTGAGTTTTGTTTGATCCTATTTTATTATTTATCCATATCACCCTATAACTGTCGTGGGAGAAGAGTCTAAGAAGTTCCTGGAGAGAAGGGAGAACTCGACTCAGGACAACAGAGTCCCTGAGTTAAGTGACAGAAAAGAATTTCAGCACATGCCAGTCAGGGGTACAGACAGAGATTTATTTGAGAAAGTAGATCCACAGTCAAGGGAGAATGGAGGCACTCTTAAGAGAGAGATTCCTATTTTTCCAAGGAATCTCCATACTGCTTTCCATAATGACTGCACCAATTTGCAGTCCCACCAGCAATGTATGAGTGTACCTTTTTCCCCACATCCTCACCAACACATATTGTTGTTTGTATGCATAATAGCTGCCATTCTGACTGGAGTGAGATTAAATCTTAGAGTGGTTTTGATTTGCATTTCTCTAATTGCTAGTGATGATGAACATTTTTTCATGTGTTTGTTGATTGATTGTACATCATCTTCTGAGAAGTGTTTCTTCAGGTCCTTGGCCCATTTATTGATTGGGTTACTGTTTTGTTTTGTTTTTGATGTCTAGCTTTTTGAGTTCTTTATGTACCCTAGTGATTAGTGCTCTATCTGATGTATGAGGCGTAAAGATTTGCTCCCACGATGTAGGCTGTCTATTCACCTCACAAATTGTTTCTTTTGCTGAGAAGAAACTTTTTAGTTTGAGTTCATCCCATTTATTGATTCATTTGACCCAGCTATTCCTTTCCTCAGCCTATACCCAAAGGACTTAAAAACAGCATACTACAGGGACACAGCCACATCAATGTTTATAGCAGCACAATTCATAATAGCTAAACTATGGAACCAACCTAGATGCCCTTCAATAGATGAATGGATAAAAAAAAGTGGCATATATACACAATGGAATATTACTCAGCAATAAAAGAGAATAAAATCATGGCATTTGCAGGTAAATGGATGGAGTTGAGAAGATAATGCTAAGTGAAGTTAGCCAATCCCAAAAAACCAAATGCCGAATGTTTTATATATATATATATATATGGAAGCTGATTCATAGTGGGATAGGAGTAGGAGCATGGGAAGAATAGACGAACTCTAGATAGGGCAGAGGGGTTGGAGGGGAAGGAAGGAAGGGGGCAGGGGTAATTAATGATGGATGAATGTGATGATCATTATTATTCAAAGTACAGGTATGAAGACACGAATTGGTGTGAATATACTATGTATACAACCAGAGATATGAAAAATTGTACTCTATATATGTAATAAGAATTGTAATGCCTTCTGCTGTCATTCATATATATATATACATATATATATATATATATATATATATATATAGAGAGAGAGAGAGAGAGAGAGAGAGAGAGAGAGAGGCAAAGAATATACATTCAAGGGAGAATGTGGTCTATCTCAAGAGTAAGAGATGCCTTTTGGGGGTTCCCAAATCCTTTAAAGAAAACTTGGTAATGAGTGGGTATGGAAAAGTATTTAGGAAAGATATCAGTCTGGTGATCTCAAGACCATATATGGTGGTCAATTTCCTTAGGCTGATATGTGTGGTCTTTATTATCTGATGGTTAGATAGTGCTGAAAAGTCCCCTAAATTATAGGTTTTTAAAAATGTCATCTCTTACTTAATCTATTTAATGGGGGCTAATTAATAATGCTCAGGTAAATCTATGAATTTCCCAGGAATTTGGGAGTAACAGACTTGGGAAAGAGACTGGTCTAGGGAATGACAAGCCTAGACAAGCAGAACTTCTGAATTAAAATCTCATTTCCTTGGCCTTCTTTTATGTCTCCTTTCACATATTTCTTGTTTTTTTCTATCCTAACTCATAACAAATGACAGAAAATTATTTGTGAATGAGAAAATTGGGATTACTACTTGCAAGGTGTCATTATGTGACAGAAAACTAAAGTTTGTCCTACTTGCTAAATTCAGTCATTACTAAAAGTTAGACATTTGACCTCATTCTTTTTTTTTTTTTTTGGTACTAACTACATGCCAGTCTTTTCTATTTTTTAATTCTGAGACAGGTTCTCATTGAGTTGCTTAGGGTACTGGTAATTTGTTGAGGATGGCCTGGAACTTGCAATTCTCTTGCCTTAACCTCCGGAGTTTCTGGGATTAAAGGTGTGCACCACCATGCCCAACTTGATCTCATTCTTCCTTGTTTGTTTTAAGACTGAGATAGAAGGGTTGGGTATGTAGATCAGTGGTAGTGTGTGTGAGAACTTGGGTTCAATCCCCAGCATTGAAAAACAACAACAATAACAACAACAAAAAAAAACCCAACAGACTGAGTAGTGAAATGACAATTCCATGGGTTCTCCACCTCTGGTTTTGAATGATCACTGGTGGTCATCACCGCAACAAAATAACTCGTTAGACTTTGGAAGTCCTTTAGAGGTCTCCTTATTCTGATTCAACAAAGACTAACATAATTAGTTACTGCTTACTCAAGGAAGAAGCTAAAGTTTACCAGACATAGTTCAGTTCAATTCAATCCACTCCATTTAATATTTATTGCATTTAAGCTTTGTGCCAGTCAGTGACCTGGGCACAAAGGATATAGAAGCTGCCCTTGTCCTCCTATTGGTTAGACTAATGTCGCTCCAGGGCCCCCTAGTGGTAGACAGTGTGGAATGTACTGTAGGAAGTATGTACTACAGGAGTTAACCAAATAAAATGTTAGAAATGGTCCTAGGTAAACCGGGTACACGCTTATAATCCCAGTGGCTAGGGAGGCTAAGGCAGGAGAATGGTAGGTTTAAAGTCAGCCTCAGCAACTTAGCAAGGCCCTAATCAACTTAAAATAAAAAATAAAAAGGGTTGAAGATGTCGTTCAGTGGTAAAGCATCCCTAGGTTTAATCACTAGTACAAAAAAAAAAAAAAAAGAAGAAAAAAAAGAAAGAAAAATCCTGGATAAGTATCAGCTTCAATCAAAAGGATAAGTGGGAATTGCCCAAATGAAGAAGGAAGATGGAGTAATTGCCAGGCCAAAAAAATAAACTGCTAGGGTGGAGAGAAGAAGTATGCAGATGGGGCATTACACTTCTGCTGAAATACTAATCCAGTTTTCACCTATCTACTCTTCCACTTTCCCTTCTATCTCCAGGTTTTTAGCCTGTAGGTTGACCTCTTTCCTCCTAATCGTCCATTGTTCTAGTGGAGTTTATTTGTAAATTTAATGCAGGAACCAATAAACAAAGAAAACAGCTAAGGAGTAGCCAGTGGAGCCTGGAACCAAGCCTACATTACACTTACAAAAATCTGACTTTCCACAGAAAAAATATTTTGACTTTTACATTTTTGGACTTCATTAGAAGGATCTGAAATGGATGACACCAAGCTGTTTGCCTAAAATAATGTCCCAAATCTGAATTGGCATGGATATTTCCTGAGATTAAAATAGAAACTTGTTTTGCTAACAGAAAACAACTTGGAAATCAAAGAGTCAGTTTAAGTTGGAACCATTTATTTTTCCTTTTCTTGCAGAAAATTCCTGTTTTTACACACATGGAGAGATCAGGGTAGTAAGGTCATTCTGCCACAGAAGTTTCCATTAACAATTTGAAGTTGCAGAAACCTCAAAAAGAAAGGGGGAGGGCTTGTAATATAAGAAATTCATAAATTCATTCAACAAACATTCATGAACACCAACTATGTGCCAGATACTGATCTAAGCACTAAACAAAGATACCTGCCCTTGTAGAGCTTTCATTCTTGCGGGAGAGGGTGGGGGTGGGGTAAACAAACAAGAAATAAGCAACTTATTCAGTAAATAGAAAACGAATAGTATGAAGAAAAGACAAAAATAGGGTAGGGGGCATCAGGAGAAAGCAAGTTTCAATTTTCGAGAGTGGTTACTGATGGCCGCCTCAGAGAGGGGGCATTTGAACAAAGACTGAAGGAAGTGAGGATGTGAGCCATGTATGCAGTTATCTCGTTTATGCAGAGGAAACAGTCAATGGCCCAAGGAGAGGGCATGCCTCGAATGTGCTAGAAAGACAAAGAGGCCTTGTGCTTGGGGAAGAGACAGGAGAAGCCATTTGGGGTACGGTTAGAAAAGATGAGTGATTTGATCAGACTTATGTTTTAACGTGCCTTTTAGGATAATCATGTGTTTTCATTTGAACATAGTCCTTTAGTAAGAACTTTTTTACTCTGAAACCACAGAGTAATGATTACTTAAAATGGTTTCTAAAGGATCCCGCAAGATGAGACACCACAAGATTAAGTAGTAATGGCCCTCTCTTTCTGGCGGGCATTTGCCCCTAGAGGGGCAGCCGTATTCTAACGTGCTCCGAGTTGAGCTGGAGGAGATAGAAACATGTCTGCACATTTCTTCAAAATTCGACTGGAGAGTCAAACATTTCCTTCTGCTGGTTAAAAATTATATATATATGCCTTTGCCAATTCTGCGGGAGAAGCAAACTCCTAGAGTTTGCCTTCGCTAATTTGTCCAAGTCCTGCTGTGGTTTCACTGAATGCAGACACTGCTCAGCTCCACCCCACAAACCTTTCTCATCTCGGGCTTCTTTGCCCTCCGGTGAAAGCTATGGTTCTTCACTGCGGTCACCACCTGTTCGGGCGAAACCCGCGGGGCGTGCACCTACGCCTCGGACCCCTTTTTCTTCCCTGCTCACCCTTCCCTGATGAGCACCCTATTTTTCTCTCCCAGGCCAGGGTTGCAACTTTTCTACCAGCCTCGGGCTCGCCCCATTGGCCCGCCAAGTAGAGACGCTGGCTTCCCATAGAATACGAGCCCCGGAGCCGCAGGAGCTGCTGGGCCCCTGGGAGGGGCAGAGAGCCCCCACCCTGTGCCGAAGCTGGGAGCGCTGGGAGTCAGGCGCACGCGCCCCTCCCGCCCCAAGCGCCCCTCCCTGTGAGCGGTGCAGCTCCCCCTGCAGCGCCTCCCCTCGCGGGGAGGGAGCCGGAGGGGGCTCCCGGAGCCGCGCTGCAGACCTGCTCCGGCTGCGCGTCGCGCCTCTCTCCTTCCAGAGTGGCAGCAGGAGCCGAGGCGGAGGCGGTAGGGGGTTCCCGCGACTTGCAGTTTCTCTGGGGAGCTGAGGAGGAGACTGCGCCTTTCCCCCGCGCCCAGCAACCTCAACCTGTTCCCGGCGCTCGGCGACTCTCACTCCCGGGACTCGCCGCCCAACATGAATTTCCCCCTGGCGCTGGTGCTCCTGTCCTCGCTCTACCTGCAGACGGCTGCCGAGTTCGACGGGAGGTGAGTTGGGCCCCGGGGCGCCCTCTCCTTCCCGCGCTAATTTCACACTCACAGTTCTGGGGCTCCACTCCCCGTGGGGTTTACGCAGCGAGAGAAGCTACTCTCTGGCCCAGAAGTTGGGCCACCGCACAGGTTCTCGGGAGTATAGTCGTGGAGCCTCTCCGAGGGCCTGCCAGGGACTGGAGAGGTCGCGCCGGGTTCGAGTCCCGGCTCCTAGAGGGTGGTTTCGCGGCTGGGCGAGCGGCTCACCCCCGCTCAGGGCTCGGGAATTGGGACTGGGGGAGAAGAGAGGCTGGAAACTAGGATCACAGCTTGAGGGCGCGGTTTCGCCTTTAAGTAGAGGTGACGCCTGGGACATCCCTTGACCCGGGAACTCGCTCAGGATTTACACGACGCTTCAGTGGGGAAAGTTTCAGGTGACCAGAATGAAATCACAGCTCGGAGCTGCCAGGGCTATCCACACAAAGACTGCGGGGAGAAGAAGCGACTGGGTTACCAGGACCTGTTTGTCTTCCCACTTGGTCTTCTCCAGGGAGGGGTCTCAAAATAAAGACACAGTGAGATGCTACTAATGAGTGTGCGTGTGTGCCTATGCCTGGGTATGCGCGCGTGTGTGTGTGTATTCGTGTGTGTGTGTGTGTGTGTGTGTGTGTGTGTAGGGGGGAGGCGGCGAGAGCTCACACCGCACTGCTCCTGAGACCTCCGGCGAGCCAGACTGCTGCGTGCTCTGACAGGTTCCAACAACCCAGGGATCAGTCTCCGCTGTCACTCAGCGGGTCCTTCGGTTGCAGCGCGCAGCGCCCTGCCGTTTCCCAGGCCGCGGGATCCTCTCTGGTGTGCGTGAGAGGGAGTGACAAGAGTGTGAGTGTCGGTTAGGAGGGCGTGCTCTGTCCCTTCACCTCCTCGAGATTACAGGCCAGATCACCTTGAGCACTGATGGCTGCTGGTGGAGAGGTTTTGCCCTGGGCCACTCCGCCATCCAGTCGCCCTCCTAAAGCGCCCCCCTTTCCCCACCCACCTCTGTGTGTCTCTGGCAGCCCTGAAGATGCCGCACCTGTTTTACCTGCAATCTCGGAACGAATCAATCGCACGATTGATTGGCTTTCCAGTGGAGCGCTGAGAAAAGCTTGTTTACCACCTGGATGGAGGAAATAGAAAGTCGGGGGTTATTTTGTACTTTGGGCCTGGGGGTAGAAAGGGCAGGTAAAGCAAAGGAAATTGAAAAGCTAAGGAGAGTTTAAGGAAAAGTGAGTAGCAACCAGAGGTTAAGCCTTTTTATTTTTAAAGCATTTTTTTTGCCTGCATTTGTGTATGGTGTGCATTCCTTGTACACACATTTACAACAAAAAATACACCATGTGTTAGGCACACAAAATATTAATGTAGCTCTTAAAAGATGTCTAAAAAAGCCAATTAAAACGTTAATCTTCCTAGAGGAAAAAGTCACTTAAGGGAACAATTTAGCAAATAACATATCCAAGTGTGATCTAGTGAATAAATCTGTATCCTGAAATTGTATACTTTCTTTAGGTATTATTTACCTTGGAGAGGAAAATAATATGAGTTGTTGACACAGGCAAGTTTCAAGCCATAAGGTACTTGAGATGTCAAATACACCTTAAACTCTCCTTGGTTTTGTTTAGACTTTTTTTCTAGTACAATTTTTTTTCTTTTTCTTTTTCCAGTTATATCTCCAAAAGAGCCCTGTTGCTTTTGATTTTTGAGGACTCTCCTCTTTCTGCACTTCCCACATCTGCCATTCATATAGTAAAAATTCTTTCTTTGACATGTCTTACATTATTTAATATTTTTTTTTTAGTTTACAATGAATCAGTCAAAACTGGCTCCCTGCCCCCATAACAGGTGTGAGTCTTTGAGGAATCTGTTTTATTTCAAGCTTCAAAAACCACCCTGTGAATGGCAGCCTTGAGGATTCTTGGTTTTAGCTAGTGCTCTTTCTAGTTAAGAAAGGATCTTCTCCCCCTTTATACACTATCCCTGTGTACTTGGTGAGGGTGTGTGTGTTTAACTGTCAGAGGATTGAAATTGGACCATAGCAGAACTATTTCTGTGAAGGTGTTTTATCCTTAAATTTCTGTAGGCATAAATTTTAGAAAATTGTGGATGTGATCTAAAACAATAACAAAGAGGGAATTAGTTTTAAAAGTGTCTTTGTTTATTTATATTTTTTGTTTGTTTGTTTGGTAGGTGGCCCAGGCAAATAGTGTCATCTATTGGCCTATGTCGTTATGGTGGGAGGATTGACTGCTGCTGGGGCTGGGCTCGCCAGTCCTGGGGACAGTGCCAACGTGAGTATCAGGCTGGGAGGTGGGCTTTATACCATCATTCAGTGCTTCACTCCACATATCGGAGAGCTGATAATTTCTGAGCAAGTCTTGGCTATGCAGTTCTGACATGGGTTTTCAGATACAGTATCCAATTGGTTATTCTGTACCTTTCCAACCTGAACCACCTATATTAAGAAGCTTTGTTTTTCATGGGGAGCCATCTAAGACGTTCATTTTAGCATTTGTCCCCAATATACTCCACCTCCTATGTTTTCAACAAGCTTATACCATTCTTTGTTCCAGGTTTTGAGATGGGGTAAGATAATGAGTCTAGACTGTATTTACACTAAATAAACTCATAATCTTAGAGTACCATAACTGTAATCCTCACCATAACTGTTGTGTAAAGTAGCCCATTCATAAATCTTTTTTGAAGAGAAGTTGTATTGACAATGCTTTAAGCAGACCACCCAATATGATCAGGAAAAAAAAAAAACTCTGAAAAGGCATTATTTGTAAGTTCTGCAAATCAACCTCATGTAAAAAAATATTAAATCAGAACACTGATTTCTGTCTCCCCCCCCCAAAAAAAAAGTGGATATATTAATGGTAAAAGTCAGAGCTATATCACAAAAAAATTAGAACTTTGTTTCCAATTTTACCTAGATCTGGATCTCAAAATTTTATCCCAGTCTTCCTGCAGAACAGTCAAACAAACTCCAAAAGATGAAATAAACTTCTGAAGCATCTTTAGGGTACTAGATTTATACATCTGGTGAAATGATGGGAACCAAGTTGAGTTTCACATTAGGACATAGACACTAACAAAGAAGCAGCTTAGATGAATAGAGTAAGATTGTTGAGACAGGTAGTGGAGGAGCCTGTCTTAGAGATGGATTGGCAATGTGAAGATTCAGGTAAATTTAATTTCAGGAAAGGCAGAACTTCCTTCAGCTCTTTAAACTTTTTTTTTTTTTAAGAGAGAGAGAGAGAATCTTTTTTGTAGATGGACACAACACAATGCCTTTTTTTTTTTTTTTAATTTTTATGTGGTGCTGAGAATCGAACCCCGGTACTGCCCCTTCTAGGCAAGTGCTTTACTGCTGAGCCACAATCCCAGCCCATCTTTAAACTTTTAAGAATGCTTGTGATGTTTACCTTAACTTTGTGAAGGAGGGGAAATGAGAGTTAAAGGTTGATTCTAATTGCATACATAGCCTATTGTCTCTAATCAGGAATGAGGTGAAGGGAATAATTCTTGTCTACCTACTATGTGCAAGCCTCTGTGTAGACCCTTTGCACAGATGGTCCATTGCCTCCTGTTAAAGGGAAATAGTGGTAACTCCAATTTCCAGTAAATGAAAGAACTAGGCAAAGCTCAGGTGTCCCTACTGATTAGTCTGTTCAGTTTTGAAGGGTAAATGGTCAAAAAGAAGGATAATACCTGATGGAATTTAGGCTTCTGCCAATTATATCAGTGTGTCAGAAGTATTTACACAGCTGGAGGCCAACAGGTGTGGAATCTGAGGAACCACCAGGCTGTAATAACCAAAGGGTAAAGAGAGGATCCTTCTGTTGGCCCAATACATAAACATAACCCTCCCAAACAAAAATGGTTAGTCTCTTTGCAGGAATTGAGACAGTGTCTTCCTTCTTTGCTGCTGTAATTTGCAGGAAACTCCCAAATCAAATGTTGAAATGCCTTGAGGTTCACGCAATCTCCCAACCCCACCCAGGACAAGCCTGCTTTGGCAGAATTCCCTGGACGGCAGTGGAGTGCACCTTCCCAAAGGCAGCCAATTGGAGCACGCAGGCTCTCTGCCAGGTGTGCTAAAAGAATTCCAAGCAGAACACTTCTCAGATCTCTAAGAGGTTCGTTGATATGGAATTCCCCAGGAAGCATCTCTAGGAGCAGTTTTTTCTTTTTTTCTCTATAGAGTAATCAAATTTTGTTCAATATGTGCTAGCTTGGTAATTCTGAATCTGAATGAGTGCAGAGACCATTCAGAATTATAGAAGCATTATAAAACAACCATTCAAGAGCTTTTCTAGGGTTTTACTGTCTACATAGGAGCTTTCCTATCAGATACAGGACACTTTTATTGTTTTTATACCTTTATTTTGTTCTTTCAAGTATGATAAGTTGTCAAATATAGTATTTGATACTACTTGTCTTTTCCCTCTTGTTATTCCTTAAGATCCTGAGAAAACTGCAACATGGTATGAGTTAATTATTGAAATGGTAATGCTAGAAAAATGTATAAGATAATTTTGCAAAATCAGTTTGTTTTCATTTGGTAAACGTTTGAAAGCCAGAGTGATGCAGAGGGACTTGCACACTGTTGCTAGGTTGCCTGGATTTCATTTCCAGTTCTACCTCTTCTTAGCTATGTAGCCTTGGACAAGTAATTCAACTTTTCTGTGCTTTATTTTCCTTATCTCTAAAGTGAATCCAAAGTTGTATATAACCTCAAGGACCATCCCAAGGTTTGAAAGAGTTATAATTTGTACAGTACTTAAAACTATCTTTGGCACTGAGTACAGACCACGTATGTATTCAGTAAAGTTAAATGTAAAGAAACACTGCTACTGAAAACAATGTTGTGGAGGGACATCTGTGCAGTCAGAGTCTTCATTTGTTAGACATGATATATGCATTTTTTTTGCATTTATGCTGCGCAAATTAAAAATCCTTGCAAAGTTCTCTGTTTCAATAAAATAAAATTCTTTAAATTAAAAAGGTCCAAATTGTTCTTTACCATTTACATTGAGGATGGCAAGGTTGTACAAATAAATCCAGAGATGCATTTTCCTGTGTATTTTGTTTCCAGAATCTTAGATGGTCTAAGTGTCAATTCAGAGTTCTGCCTATCTTTGTTTGGATATAAACAGGTAGAGGAATGTGGGGGCAAGAGGTCAGCTGAAAGGGTAGGTCGGCACTAAAAAGAGGCTGGGATGAATGGAATATTTCTGATTGGTTTTCGAAGAAAACCATTATGAAATTATAAGCTTATTACAACATTTATTCAAGGAAAATGTCTGCTATTCTGTAACAATTAAATTTAGTAATGGATTGTCTATTTTAAAAAATTCCAAACAGCTTTTAGGAAATTTAATTAAAAAAATACTTTTGGCTTTTTGACCCCTAGATAATTTCAACATTCTTTTCCATGAGGAGCAATTTCTCTTCCTCATCAAAAGTGCCCTGGTTCTCTTTCCTTCTCATGACTCACTTTGGAAATTTTTTTCCAAACAGTGTAGCGGCAAGGCTTGGTGGTATACACCTGTAATCCTAGCAGTTTGGGAGGCTGAGTGAGACAGGAGGATCACAATTTCAAAACCAGCCTTAGCAACCCTGTCTCAAAAAAAAAAAATTTTTTTTTTTTTAAAGCAAAAGGGACTATTCCCACCCATGCTCAGAACCTCTCAGTTATTTCTTATATGTGTACACAAATGGGTGGGAAAGTAGTACCCTTATTATATTATTTATTAGACCTTATGCCCTAGTGCAGTGATAGTTTTGTGAATGTTTATTCCATTTGGTTGCACATTTGTGAGACATTTGGCCCAATAGTCATGCAGGTCAGATATACACATCTACACAAAACAGGACGCATTTCATTTTTACTTACTATCCTCCTTTCCATGGACGTCTTTGAAAAGACTAATACTGTAGGTTGCTCTAGTTGGTAAACCACCCCTTCTGGCTTACTATGTCAAGCCACAAAGCCACATTCAACTGGGGAATTTCCATTCCTTCCCTCTAAGGAAGGATGGATCAGAGGTGCTACCCAAATGGACACAGAATATGTTCTCCTGCTTCCTGCCTGTACCACCCAATATTCTGTCCCAACATTCCTGCCCTGCTGGGAAAGCATGATCCATTCCAGAAATAGGAAGGTTGTATTTTCATAATTCCTTTTTAGCTCATATTCTTGACTTCTTTCTATTCTTTGATTCTTTGTTTTCTGTTCTTGACTCATAAATAGATCTCTTGCATACCCAAAATTCAAAATTTGATTTTCTAATTGTCATGGGCTTTCCTTTTATTGAATGTTAATGTTGCTCTTTATAATATCAAGGTTTTTTATTATTTCTATACATTTATTATTACATGTTGACAACACACAGCACCTTAATCACTCAGAAATTGTCACAAAATACTTCTGTTTCTTGCTTTGTAGTTATTTGGTTCTTTGACTTTTCCATAATCTTAATGGCACATTTCATTTTAATTATGTTAACTGTTTCTCTTTCCCTACTATGTGGATAGTTCTGTAATAGAGATTTCTCAGGGGCTTGTATGTTTTATTTTAGAAAGCTGTGTATGCTGTGGAAACAATTCTTTACTAGATAATTTGGGACACCTAAGTTCAAGCTTAGACTTTTGTCCCCGATTAGCTAGGTAACACTTTTTAGCTACAGTTTTCTTGTTGTACAAGTATATTTCCAAGGTACATTATAGATCTAAACTCCATCTGAGAACTTCCTAATGGCAAAAAAGAACATGTAGGATCTAGATGCTGTTTTCCTGTATGGTTGACTTTCTCTTTGCTTGGAGATTTTGCCTTATGTGTGTGGCTTATGACAGTAGTATTTTGTTGTTGTTGTTGTTGAAAACACTTTCTAGAGTTGCAAAGAAAAACCACTAGTTCTAGGTTCAACAAAGCTATTTAATTTCTGAGTTCTTTGGCTGTCAGTGAACATTTTGTGGTTTCTGAAGGAAATAGTATGAATAAAATGGTTTTATCTCATTTATCGTTAAAGACCAGGAAAAATGCAGGTGTTTTGTTATATATTTCTGCTAGGGATTTTGAGAAGATATAAAACCAACACCTACAGTTCACTTTGCTTTTTTAGTTCTGAACCTCATTTCCTCCTGTTTCATCCCCAAATTTAATAAAGGCTACAACTGTACAAATGCCATATGAAGTGAAAATTTAGATTGTTATCAGCTTTAGCTAAACATAGATTCATGAAACATAGGGACTGTGAAATAGTAATTCATTTTGAAACTATTT